TCACCGGTGAGTGTGTAGAGCGCAGGGACTCCAGGCTGGAGGGCGGGACCGCACACCTAGAGGGCACCATCAAGGCGCACTCAGCAGCTCAGAAGTGGGAGTCCTTTTCTCCGAGATGCAAGAGTGTGAGCCAAGTAGGAAGCTCTGGGCACCTCACCAAGTCCGGGTTAACTACCTGCGGCCAGGGGAGTGATAGAGGGAAAGTTAGGTAGAGAGTGGGCAGGTGCTCAATGAAAATTAGTGACTTAAGAGAGACGGAGTTTATGCTGTGCTCTTCCCTAAGAGACTAGGTGTGGAGCAGAGGGCGGTACTCTAAGGGACTATAGAAGTCCCGAGAAAGGAAATGCCATCCCTCGAACTCTTCCTGGCATCCCTATGTCACTGGAACACACGATCTGCTATTCTCAGGAGAGAGCTTAGATATGAATTCTGCTCCCCCTGACCTCCACAGACTGGAATCCTTGGAGTTCAGAACTGCCTGAGGTCACAGCAGCTGGATAGTTAAGTAGCTGCTGCTTGGATCCATCTACCCTGCCAAAACTGCAGCAGTCTGCCCCTAGCACTTCATCCTGCCCAGTCCTGGGTGCCCGGGAAAGAGGCCTTGGAGAGCTGGACTCAGGTGTCTGTGGTGCCTGGCTGAGCTCTCTTTGTCTGGAGCAGGGAATAAATCTGTCATCAGAGGGAGGGAAGGGGAAGGGGGGCTGCAGACCCAGCAGGAAATGGGGAGGGGGAGGAAGGCCAAGGGGCATTGGTCCATTGCATGGGAGGAGGAGCAGCCTTGTTTTTCCCCCAACCACCATGGCTTCTCAGAGATCTTGGTCCTTTATAGGTGATCTGTATGATTGGATGGGGTTGGGAGAATTCAGGTGGAAATCCTTGAATTGGACCTTGGAGGAAGTTGGGTGGAGACAGGTGGAATATGAAATATGTCTTGGATCACAGAAAGGGCATGGGACAAAGGCTTAAGACAGGAATAAGCATATGATTTGGGAAGGGGATAGTCAATAACCAGTCTGACTATGGGGGTGTGATGGGATGTGAAGTTTCCTTGGGAGACCTGAACATCAGGTGAGAAACTAGATTGTACTAAGGTAGAGGAGGGTGGCACATAGGTTATGTTCAGCAGAGGGGGTAGGGATCAGGCTAGATGGAAGAGACTTCCAGGATGAGTGTAAATCTTCAGGGAATCCCAGTTTCAGGAGGTTGAGGAAGGAAAGCTACCAAACTCTCTTGGAGTGAAGCAGGGACTAGATTATAGGACAGATCCCTTCCTATCCTCTAATCTGTGAGCTACTTCACCAGGTCCTAAGCCATTTCAGGTTATACTGGCCTGGCTGGGCAGTCTTTCCGGAAATCTCACCTCAGGTCTTTGGTACTGCTGTTACTTCCAGTTTTAAGCCTGAGCAAGAGGTGACCTGGGCTCTCTTCATCTCTTTGAAGCCTACTGCTGTATAAGACCGGAAGTTGGCTTCCAGCTTCCCTATGTCTGCAAATTCTGGGGGTTTTCCCAGTTACCACTAAGCAGCAAGGCACTTAAGTGTCCGGGTCATGCCCCACCTGCCAAGAACACCGCCTTATACCTGCAGAACTGTCACTCATTCCTCCCAAAGAATGTCCAAGAGCTGTTTGTTAAATCTACTCCACAAGCTCAGACATGGAGTCAAGCTTGGGCTTTGTGGTGTGGTACCCTGTGTGCCTGCATGTGTATATATCTGTGCTGATGGGTAACAGGAGTCAAGCTCATGTGTGAACATCCAGGGAGATTACAGATGTTTGCAGGTGAGCAAGAGGATAAGATGTGGGTGAGTGTTGGGACCCCAGAGCTGAAGCTCTGGCAGGCTTTAGTGGAGTGCTATCTGCTCCAGAAGGGAAGCAGAGGCAAGTGTGTGTGTCTGTGCACACACACTCCCCTCCCCCAGTCAGATTTGCCTGAGAAGGACCCCTCAACACAGGCTGGCAGGCCCCAGCCACACAAAGCCTGGTTTGCAGCCCCCTGCCCAGCTTTGTTCTCCTCTCAGCATAGGGGGCGGGGCTGAGGCAAGCAGGGGTGCTGTTTGTCCAGGAGTGGGGAAGCCTAGCTGCAAAGCAGCTTTTCTGCTCAGCAGGACCCCAGGGCTGGCGGCTCCACAGCACCTCCTCCTCCTTCACTGGTCCTCCTCCTCTTCTCACTGGCCACCCACAGAGTCAGGATCAGAATGGAAACCATCAAGGAAGCAAGGGCTTATCAGTACCAGGGACCCCCACACTGGGGCCTTGCCTGGTGGTTGTTATCTCTGCATACCAAGGACAAGAAAATGAAGCCTCCATGAGTGGCAGCCGACCTCAGGTCACACTTGGTGGTGTGGGAAGGGATTCCAGTGCATGTCTGTTTTCTTCACTTACCATGCATGGTTCCTGTCCTAAGAGGGAAGTAGTCTGGGGCTCAGCAAACACATGTGCCCAAAGTCAGTGATTGGAATTCCAAGGACAGATTTCAAGGGGAAGTTGGGAATGGGGCTCCTGGAACAATAGTGGGGGGTGCTGAGGCTGAGAGGAGTGTTCAGGTTGGACAGGACCAGGATGATGTCATCAGAGGCTGTGGCTTTATTCTAAGGCCCCCTAGGATCCCTAGGAAGCAAAAAACTTTTGGTAATTAGCAGCAGCAGAGTGATGCTGTCATTTTTAAAAATATCCCTCTGGTTTCGGCGGTAGATTCATAAGACAAGATGGGACCAGTCTAGGTCTCTGTTTAGCTTTTTGTTTTTGTTTTTTTTCTTTTTCGAGACAGGGTTTCTCTGTATTGCTTTGGAGCCTGGCCTGGAACACGCTCGGTAGACCAGGCTGCCCTCTAACTCAGAGATCCGCCTGCCTCTGCCTCCTGAGTGTTGGGATTAAAGGTGTGCACCACCACTGCCCGGCAAGGTCTCTGTTTCTTCTATAAAAGTTTATCAGTCACATTTGATAAGTTAGCTACAGAGAATCAGGGCGATGACAGCTGTCACAGAACTGATGCTCAGGGTTCAACCAAGAGGACAAACTTATAACATACATTTGTCTGAAAGGATGGAGGGAGGGCTGAGTGTTCGGGAGCCTAAATTCTACCCAAATACTGGTGATCCTTGGCTTGTCTTGGGCTGGACCACTGTGGGAATTCACTGGCTATCCTACCCCGGTTAGGTTGTGACACTGGTTTTGGCAAGGAGACAGCTAAGAAACTGGATGCCATGGGCTTCATGGTGCTGGCCACTGTGTTGGATTTGAATAGCCCTGGTGCTCAAGAACTGCGTGCCTGCTGTTCCCCTCGCTTAAAGCTGCTGGAGATGGACCTGACCAAGCCAGAGGACATCAGGCGTGTGCTGGAGTTCACCAAGGCTCACACCACAGGCACTGGTCAGCAGATGTGGCTCCATTAGGGCTGGGCATGGCTGGGTGAGTGTGAGGGAGGCAGGGATGGCATGTTTGCTGTCAGCTGACCTGAAGCTTCCCTCCTGCTTTTGTGCCCTCAGGCCTATGGGGTCTGGTTAACAATGCTGGCCTCAACAGTGTAGTGGCCGATGTGGAGCTGTCTCCTGTGGCAACTTTCCGAAACTGCATGGAAGTGAACTTCTTTGGTGCACTTGAACTGACTAAGGGTCTCCTGCCACTCCTTCGACACTCAAGGGGACGTATTGTGACAGTTGGCAGCCCTGCAGGTAAGTGCACTCCCACACTGAGGCACAGTTGTAAAGGGCCTGCTATTAGGGGAAGAATGATTTGGGGAATCCCTGGCCAAAGCTGAGCGGCTTTTCCTCTATTCTATTCCCAGGAGACATGCCGTATCCCTGCTTGGCAGCCTATGGAACCTCCAAGGCAGCTGTAGCACTACTTATGGACACATTTGGCTGTGAATTGCTTCCCTGGGGTATCAAGGTCAGCGTTATCCAGCCTGGCTGCTTCAAGACAGGTGAGGGTTCAGGTTTGGGGTAGGACATGCATGTGGCCTGGGTGTGTGGTCTGAGGATCTGGCATGGCTTGGGTTATAGGCAGAGTTCACATTAAATAGACTAGTGGCCTTTGCCTTCTCCAGCTGCTGCCTTCTGATCTTGCTGTTCCTTCTTCAGAGTCAGTGACCAATGTGAACCTCTGGGAGAAGCGCAAGCAACTGCTGCTGGCCAACCTGCCTGTAGAGCTGCTGCAGGCCTACGGTGAAGACTACATTGAGCACTTGCATGGGCAATTTCTGCATTCACTCAGAATGGCAGTGCCTGACCTCAGCCCGGTTGTAGATGCCATCATTGATGCACTGCTGGCAGCTCGGCCACGTCGCCGTTATTACCCAGGCCGTGGCCTGGTACTCATGTATTTCATCCACTACTACCTGCCAGAGGGCCTGCGGCGCCGCTTCCTGCAAAACTTCTTCATCAGACACTGTCTACCCCGAGCACTGAGGTCTGGCCAACCTGGCCCTGCTCCTGCTCAGGACACACCCCAGGACCCAAACCCTTCCCTAGTGGCGGCTAGGTGAGCCACAAATGGCCTGACTAAGTGCTCCAGCAGAGAGGCTCCATGAGCCCTTGGCCCTCGTTCCTAGCCATTATAAACCTCTCAAGCTCACCCTAAAACAGCAGTTTTTAACCTGTGAGTCGTGACCTCTTTGACCAATCTCTATCCAAAAATATTTACATTATAATTCATAACAGTAGCAAAATTACAGTTATGAAGTAGTAACAAAAATAATTTATGACTGGAGATCACCATATCATGAGCAACTGTATTGAAGGGGTCACAGCATTAGGTGGGTTGAGATCTATTGCCCTAGGGTCTGTGTTAAGAAAAGCTCAGACTCCACTGCTGATGCCTAGTCCAGGCCTGGGAGGCTGAAGTTTGCTAGGGAACCTTTGGACCTCTCTGCTGCTCCATGAATTCACACAAACCCTACCAGGCACAATGTTCCACACTGCAACTTGGAGAACCCAGCTTGATGGAGAGTTTTGTGTAAGATTATCTGTAGCCTTTGATCGGACTCAGTCCGATCAAACTTAATAGTGATTAGGCAGGTGGGCACCTCCTCATGATTGTCTTGGCACCAATGCTTTAGTGCTGCAAGTCCAGAGTAAATCCCAACTGCCTCTTGACTGGCTCAAGAATCAGGTCCTCAACTACCTGCTCCCAAACCACAGGGAAGCTGCATATTGTATTTGCCGGCTGTTGGCATTTGAAAATAAAGACACATTTTTATTTCTCCTAGAATGGGGGAGATCAGTGAGTGTTTGAAGGCGGTGACTGCCTGGTTGCCTTTGGTGTGATTATGTGACAGAGATTGGGAGCAGCAGGGAAGCTGACTGGACTTCCCAGGCACTCTGTGGTTCATATCCCTCTTCTACTGACCTCAGGCAAATAAATCTCTTATCCCTAGATCTGGGATTCTGCATAGAGAGGTGAAGGTAATGGCCAATTTACAGGGCTTGGTGAAGCCAATATTCAACTCCTCTCTAACAAGCTTTACACCTCAACCTATCTTTGTGCATGAGCTCCTAGCAGAAAGAGCCTCCTCCAGGGACTCCCCAACCCTGTCTGTGGCTGCTGACTGCAGGAGAGGGTTCAAGGGTACAGTGATGAAGAAAGCTGGGAGTCAAGGAGAGGTACTAGGGCTCAAAGGAGGTAGCACTCAGTAGGCTTTTTAAAGAGGGGAATTTTATTGTCTCAGAGGGTCAGAGCTGAAAGAGAGGGCTGCAAAGCTACTTCCCCCATACCCCAAAGACACACACTCTCTAATCTTCCCATGGGCCATGGCTCTGGGGATGACCCACAGAGGAGAAAGGAGGACCATTCTGCCCCAGAGGTTCTCAGGTTAGGGAGGGACATGAAAATGACACAAGTTTCTTAGACATGTCAATAGCTGTAAACATAGGGCTGGGGGGCTCTTTGCTCTGGAGGGGATATTGGTCCATTCTTCATCAGGGGAGAGGTCCCTAATCCCTTTGTAGGTCTAAGAGCAGTTCCAGAGGGAGTTGTGGAAGGTGGGCAACCCCAGAACAATGTGCTACACTGTACCAGGTCAGACAAGTGAGCCATGAGCTCCACCACAGCACACAGAGACACACACAGTGCATTTGGGAACCTTGAGTTAGAACACTAGAAGATGGGGATATAGTTGTCGATCTTGGCGCGATGGCGCTGGGCGATGCACTCAGCAATCCACACAATGTTGCGACATTCCTGTTCTTTTAGCTTCACAAAGGCATAAAAGACACCAAAGTGGAACTGGTTCAGGAAGGCCAACTTGTTCAGCTTCACCTGTGGACAGATGCAGGTGTGATGCACAGGGGCTGTGGCCAGAAGTGTAAGTCCTAAGCCACAACACTCCCTAGACTGGGCAGGCTCCACAAGGCCCTGTGCTCACCTCATGCTCAAAGAATCGGTCCTCCAGAGTCTTGTCTCCAGGATTGCTACCTGCACCCTCAAAGAGCAGTTTGTATTCCTGGCCAGGGAATGGAAAGAAGCACAGATATGAGTGCTACTGGGTGTACCAAGATGGCTGCCTAAACCCTGTCAGCCAGGGCACTCACCGGGTAGTAATCAGCTACATTCTTGACCTGTTCATAGTCATCAGCCCGAGCCAGCTGAGCCAAGCCCTCAGGGTAGAGTCGGCCACAGTGTGGAAAGAGCTTGGCACGGTCCTCCTTGGACAGCTCTGTGCCGAAAGAGTTGATGGTGATGATGAAGGCGCGGCGGTCTGCTTCAAACTGCAGGACCAGTGCATAGGTGAGGAGAGAGAGAAGACAAGGGATACCATAGCCAGTCAGTTGGCAAGGATCAGTGGGAACAAAAGGCAGAGAGGTAGGGCAGGAACTCACCTCTAGGATAGGACACATGGCATCAGCTGTGGTTCCACCCAATAGAGTGCAGAACTTGTAGAAGGACTCCAGATAGGCCTGCAGAGAGGATAGTATTTGCTTAGAGCAAGGAGAGCAATGCTGGGAGACTTACTAGGAACCAAGTCAGGGGTTGGAGAGATGGCTCAGTGGTTATGAGCACTGACTGCTTTTCTAGAGGTCCTGAGTTCAATTCACAGCACCCACATGGTGGCTTACAACTGTCTGTAACTATATTTCCAGGTGATTTGACATCCTTACATAGGCATACATACAGGCAAAACACTAATGCACATTAAAAAACAAAAACCTGGGGCTGAAGAGATGAATCAGTGGTTAAGAGCACTGCCTGCTCTTCTAGAGGTCCTGAGTTCAATTCCCAGCAACCACACAATGGCTCACAATCATCTGTAATGAGATCTGGTGCCCTCTTCTGGCCTGCAGGAATACATGCAGGCAGAACCTGTATTCACAATAAATAAATAAATCTTAAAAAAGCAAAACAAAACAAAAAACAAAACTAACCAAAACACCACAACATTAAAGAAAAAGAGAAAACAAAAAGACACCTAGTCAGTCAGTTTACTTCTCCTCCCTCTAAGCCTTTTATGGTAGGGATGGGCCAGTTGATTCTATGACAATTTCCTTGTAACAAAACATCTACCAATTTCAAAGTTAACTACCCAAGTAGCAGTAGCTTGCTGCCTTCTATCTAGGAGTGGCAAAACAGTTTCTAGCCTACTGTCTGCTTCAGGGAACATATTCCCACCCCTTTCTCTTGGACAGCCAAGCTTGGGGGTTCTGTCTTCTTCCTGGTGTTCTGCCTTCCTTTTCCCCTTGTCTCCAAAAACCCCCTTCCCCAGCTTCAAAACCAGGTATCCAAGGGCTAGTGATGAGAAGTTATCCACAGAATTCACAAAATGGTCCGGACTGAATCCATAAGCCTTCCCTTGTAACAATCCACCTTGTAGAACTCCTCCCATCCCCACGCAGCTCCTTGGCATCAACAGCAGGAACCAAATTACCATGTCAGTTCCTGCTGAAGGATGGTTATTGCCTATGTGAAAGCAATAGTCACAGTCAATAACTAGGTACATGGGCTGCCGGCAGAAATAAGTACTTTTTGTACAGGCAAATTAGATCTTCTGGGCATGCGGAAAGGACAGGTCAGCCCCAGATACAAGATCTTTCCTGACTCTCATTCATAAAGCCACACAGGTTTCTTTGCAATACCTTTATCCCCACCATGATCTTGCAGACCCCATGGGTAACAATCTTGCATGAAACTTCATTCAGACACCACCTAAGGCCCCATATGTAGCATGGACACAGAGATGCTGGATACACATACTAAAGACTATTCTGAGTTGGGATTAGGGGGCTTGCAAGGTATGAAAACCTTTGCACATTCAGGTGTTTTCCGAGCTGGCTTGGACCCACAGGACCTGCCATTACAAGAGACATGAGATGAGACCCGGAGCCCCACAAGCACAGTGACACTATGCAAGATGAGCTCAGTGGAGAACCTGCAGGTGGCCATTGAGATCACAGGAAACAAAAAGCCAGTATAAGTCAGTAAGAAAAAGCCTAGAGGCCAGGTGGTGGCGGCATATGCCTTTAATACCAGTTCTCGGGAGGCAGAGGCAGGCAGATCTCTGAGTTCAACACCAGCCTGGTTTACAGAGCAGATGCCAGACAGCCAGGGCTGTTACACTGAGAAGCACTGTCTTGAAAAAAATCACAATAAAAAAAAAAAAGAAGAAGAAAGAAAGAAAGAAAAAGGAAGGAGGGCTGGAGGGATGGCTCAGGAGTTAAGAGCACTGACTGCTGCTCTTCCAGAGGTTCTGAGTTTAATTCCCAGCAACCACATGGTGGCTCACAACCATCTGTAATGTGATCTGGTGCCCTCTTCTGGCACACACTTTATACATGATAAATAAATAAATAAATCTTTAAAAAAAAAAAAGGAAAAAGGAAGGAAGGAAGGAAGGAAGGAAGGAAGGAAGGAAGATAACAGAGCCTAACACAGAAGATACCAGAGAAACAAAAGCCTGCAGGTAGAAATGGTTCCCAGCTCCCTGCTAGGGCTTGGTGGTACTTCTCAGTCCCTCCAGGAGTCAGTCCTGTGTAGCCTTCCTTATGGGCCCCCAAGCTGGTTATGTTAGAATTTTAGGACCTACCCTAGTGGAGCTTCAACTTCTATCTGTAGGGGAAACCACTAGCCAGATTTTAGGTTCCATGCCCTGTTACCTAACCTGTTTGCTTAGCCTAGCTGTACTGATCCCCAGACAAGCTGACCCTAGCATTAAGTTCTACACTTTCCTCCAGAAACTGGCAAGGTCCAGGTACCAAGGTCACCTCTCCAATCCCACCCTGTACCCTGGAGTCTGCCAGCCCATGGTTCTACATCAGCTGCCTAAAGTTCACCTGCCAGACAGTCCACTTAATCTCCCATCTGGGGCCACTGGGCTGGAACATTCATTGCCTGACAGGCACGCAGTTCTGGCATGGAGTCCATAGTGTTGGGTTGGTGTTTATGAGCTGGTTCCTGGGCAATCCTTGCCAATGACTCCAGCTAAAACCAGCCAGGCCCAGTGAGGGTTGAGTAAGGCTAGGGGGATGGCCACACCCCTCATCTTGTCTAGGGCAGGGAATTTGTCAATGAGCCAGGTGAGTGGATAGGACACTATAAGATTTTTTTTTTTTTTGGTGTGTGTGTGTGTGTGTGTGTGTGTGTGTGTGTGTGTGTGTGTGTGTGTGTGTGTGTGTGTTTGCATGTACCCCTTACATCTAATCTGCCCCTGACCCTGCAGTCAGAGAGGGCCTTCTAAGAACACTTTTCACATTTTACTTATTTTTGTGTGCATGTACATGTGAAGGTCAGAAGACAATAGTGAGTATTGGTTCTCTCCTTCCACCATGTGGGTCCCAGGATAAACTTAGGTTGTCTACCTGGGAAGTAAGCAGCTTCATTCCCTGAGCCATCTTGCCAGCCCAAACTTCAAGCTCACCTTTTTTGGTTATTGTTGCAGTTTATTTGTTTGGTGACAGGGTCTCACTAAGCAGCCCTGAAACTTAATACATAGACTCAATTTCACAGAGATCTGCCTGCCTCTGCTTCCTAAGTACTAGGATTGAAGGTGTGTACCACTATGCTGGCTTACTTTTCTTGAGACAGGCTCTTACTATGGAGAGCTGGCTAACCTGGAACTCATGACATATATAAGCTAATCTTGAACTTAGCAAAAATTCTCATGCTTGAGCTTCCTGAGCATTTCAAGGTATGCACCACCACTCCCAACTAAAGTTTAAACTTTTGATCTGGCATTCAAGGCTCTGGGTGACATGGCTCAGTGCCTGCCT